TCACCCCCTTCTTTTTTGGGTCTAAAAAAAAAAAAAAAAAAAAAGACAAAAACCTTAATAAATTTAGGAAGTTGTCCTTACTCTTTAAAAAGAACTGTACATAGAACAGCAACTCTTCACTCTTTGCATACCCTTAGTATTTATCCTCCTTAAATTGGTAGCAGTCCACATTCTCAATGTCTTGCAGGGTCCTCCTTTTCCCTTTTGGAAAAGTATATTTGGATGGTAGTTTAATATCTGGATGCTCTCAGTAACATAATCAAAAATGAAGAAGAATTGTTTGATTAAAACTATATAGTCTGATGACTCAGAACCATTCTTGTCCCTTAAGCCCAGTCTTTCCACAGGGAAATCAGTTCTTTCCCTTTTACTCCTAAGAACGGTTTGGTATTAATTGATTTCAAAATTAGTAAGTGTGAGAATCAGTCATATAAAATCAGGATTTTATTCCATTTGTGAGAAATGTATTTGGCATTTTAAACTCCCACAAAATTTTAAGCCTAAGGATCTTTTTAGAGGAGTTTCATATCCCTGGTAAGATCATTGCATGGAATAAGGCAGACATTTAAAGTCGAATTTTTGTTTTTGAGTATTAAAGTGTCCTTGGGTGCAATAGTCTAGTGATAAGCAATCCAAATTTCTAAGTAATACTGTGGTTTTACCTTGTCAGTATGAGGTCCTAGGAGATGTTATCATTCTCTGTCTTTTAATTTTCCTCTCACTAAACTAGAAACAAAATTTTCTGTCATTTATTAGGAGCTGAAACTACATTTCCCTGGGAATATTTCCCATTTTGCTCCAGGTTCCAGCTCAAGCATCACATTTCTCTGAAGCCTTTCTTACATTCCTCTAGGCAGTTAGGGGCAATCGTACTACTTTGTTCATGCCTAATTATATGACATCACATGGCACTGTACTTATTTGACTATTTCTCCTACTGTTCTGTGAGCTTGATGGGTGGGAATCATGTTTTACTCATCTTGATATCTTCATTATTTTATACAGTGCCTCCCAGAGTAGAGACTAAAGTATTGTTGGAAGGATGGATGGTTGGATGGATAGGTGGATGGAGACAGTTGGCTTAAGTAGATCCTATTTACAGATTATTTAGCCTTTGACTCCAAGGGGGACTGGATGTGGCTAACAATCAAAACGATGCAAATTTTCATCTGCCCTTTGAAGAGTCAATAAGGGCATCTTTGTATTTAAATACAGGAAATGTTATTCAGAGTTTTATATTTAACTGTTTACCTTGGTATAGATGGTATAAGGATTACATGTAACAATATGTAAAATGTATGTTTTTGAAAATAATTTTTATCTCCATAACTTGTGAAGGTCGTTTGTTATTATTAATACTAGCTGGGTCCCAGACTCTTACCCTTTTCTCCTCAGACAGCTAAAGGCCACACTTTTCTCAAGAAAAGAGAAGGATTTCGTTTGTTTGAATGAAGTGGGATACTTAGATAATACAAGTAATACTTTTGTTTGGTGAGTATCAGCTGTGTGATCAGTGTTCCACCTTACTCAACTGTGTTAGGTCAGGTTCTCCTAGTTACTGAAGACAAACTGCCTCTTGCTAGATTAAGCAAAAGAACTTATTAGGAGCATATGAAAGCATCTCAAAGAATCTAAACAAGTAGCAGTTGGAAGGGTGGAGAGCAGAACAACCCCAGGAACCTCAAGAAGAGTTTTGGACTGTCTCTGGAGTGCTGCTGTCTGCAATTCCAGAGACTGTCAGACTCTGTCTCTCAGCCATATGTTCTCAAGAGAAAAAATTTAAGTGTCTCCATTGGGTCAGTATTGAAGATGCTAGTTCCCTATCCTTCATCCCTACACTGACTAGAAACAAGAGCAGCACATACTGATAAATGAAAACCCATCTTTCCATGCATCTAAAGATGCCTTCATTTAAGATAAGCCTATTGCATCCACAGGTAAGGTGTGAATGAGGCGAAGAGGTACAAGTACAATTACTCATTTAATATTAAATACTTTTTGATTATCTGCTGTGCACAAATAGTGGGAGATAAAATATTTCAGCAGGCTCCCTAGCGTGAAGAAGCTCTGTAGGTAAGATGATAACAATATGAGAGGCTTTATAGGTGGAAGGTGATTAAAATTATATGAGGCCCATTATTTATAAGGCCAGTTATTCATAAAGACAATGGATTTGTAGTTGAGAGGAAGAATTTCTTCCTGGTGCAGATGGGAAACTTCATGAAGGTAAAAACAGTTATGCTTTGAGGGATGGGTAAATGAAGTGGTACTTGAGAATTCTTAAAATTCATTCTCTACCTGTGGTAACACATATAATAAACTGAAATATATGTGACCAGGGCAGTACCTGGTGAACATGGCAGGAAAAGGGAACCTTTTGACCCCAGGGAGAAAATTCATGATGGGGGAAGATTCTATTGAGTTCTATGAGCGGAATTCAGTAAAAAGGGCAGAGAGTAGGAGAATGGTGGTTTGAAGTACAGTGTGGTGACTGCTGAAATCCTTCCTTGATTTTTATTCTGGTGGCAAATGCACATCCAGGGGAGGAGAGAGCTGTATGTGAAACATTGGCCCAAGTAAACCTCATAACATCTTTTGGCCTATCATTGCTCTGAGACCCTTCAGAAAGCGGACCAAAGAGGAAGGAGAGTATTTCCCTAGTGGTTAAAGAAGGTAAGCTCCCCCAGCCTCACCAGGCTTGGAGAAATAGGAGTGTGGGAAGGTGACAGGTAGAGTCTGAGGAGCTGAGATGGAGTAGCAGCAACAGTGAGCATTGGCCAAGGGTCTGGGGACTTCTTAAGGTACTAGATGGCACAGGGAACCTTAAAAATGAAACTCCAGTTACCCAAAGGAGAAGGCAGCTATGGAGTTAGTATAATTTGCCTGTTGATATGACCTTTATATCTACAGGGTAGTGAGTCCTGGGGACATTTGAGTTCTGTGTGAATTACTTTATTATCTGCCCAACACCCTTGGTCTAAAATGCCAAGTTCTCCCTCATCTCAGAATGATTCTGGGATCATCTTAAGCATTTAGCCTTTTCTACATGCAGACTAGGCAGACTGCACAGCCATTTTCTTGCGCTTTCAGGCCTTGGGACTCTCCTGGTCACTTGTGCCTATATGGGATAAGCAGCAACCTGGAGCCAGAGCCAAGATTCAGGGCATCTGAATTCTTCCACAACCTTCGTGCTAGACAGTGTGTTAAGTCCTGGACATATGTGGTCTCTGACGTCAAAGCTAGTCTACTGAGACACATCAGCAAAGAGGAAGTTGTGATGTAATGAAGTGCTATCATGGGAGCTGAATCTAATCCTCTATCCCAGACTCCAGAGAAATCTTCCTGGCACTGTCACTAATTCAGCTTGTCTAATCAGTCACTTCTCTGGGCTTATCTATAAAATTCCAGCTATAAAATTTCAGAATTCAATTTATTGTAGTCTACTGAAGAGTAAAAGTTTTGAATTACATCTAGAAAGGAATAAAAGAGAGGTAGAGGCTGGCAAATATAAGAGACTATAGTTGCTTGAAAAGATTTAATGAAATTACACAAAAAGTTTGAAAATATTTTAAATGTGTGCGTTTTAATAAAAACTACCTGGAAGCATATGTTAGCAGAGGCTGCACTGAAGGGAAATTGCTGGACTACCAAGCATACACCTGCTAGAAATTCCAGAAACTGTAGGTAAATCTTGGGAAGACCTGCCCAAAGCTGATTCTTGAAAATAGTGTTCTAGAAATCTCAGCGTATCTGGCACCCAGAGCTATCTCTAACGCCTCGGTGCTTTCCGGAAAAGGACCCTGCCCAGCCCAGGAAGCTCCTCCTGCCGTCGTACGGTGGGTTGGGCTTGTATATGCACAAATTGCCTTCCTCTCCGTACTCCACTTTCTTATTCATTTATGTGAAGTTTCTGACGTTTAAATACGCTCGACTACTTCAGCCTGTGACCACCTCTGGCTGCCTGGAACCGGCCCGAGACCCGATTCGTGTGGCCCAGAAGGCCCCGGGCGACAGCGCCAGAGGCGGTATCAGACGGCGCGGAACAAAACCACTCACTCCTTATTCAGTTCGGACCGCTGCGGTCCATCCGTCCTCAAACCGGAAGGGCTTTTGGGTCAGGCTCCACCGTTATCCCTCCCCTTTGTCTTTGCCCTAGCGGGGGCGGGACTTCCTGTCTCGTGCGTCCAAGGACCTCCAAAGTGAGGGCAGGAGTGTCAAGAGCTGTGGTCGCGGGGTAGTTCGAACCTGGTGCACAGGTATTCATTCATTCATTCTTGCAGTTATCCTTACTGTCCTCCCACAGCGTCTCCCGGAGGCCCCGAGAACTCAAATGTGTGTCTGTCTGCAGGTTCGGAGAGGGCCATGGAGGTGCGGCCTCCGGCGCCACGGAGCTTCCTCTGCAGGGCTTTCCCTCAGATCTTTGCTGCCGAAGTTGTGGCCGCCGATTCTGTGGCCGCCGATCCGGAAATCCTTGAGGACCAGAAGCTGCCTTCCTACGTCCCAGAATCCCATTACCTGGAATCCGGATGGGACCGCCTCCGGGAGCTGTTTGTCAAAGAGTAAAAAAAATGCCTAGGGTCTCTGCGGAGGGACTGCGAAGGTGTCCTGTAACCTGGGTCTTCCTGGGCGAAGGACCCCAGGGTGGTGTGGTTTATTTTTAAATGGGTTTGGGGTTCTTATATTTGTATCCCAAGCCTGCCTCCTGACTTTGCCTTTTGGTACTTCCGTTGATAACAGGACAGCTTTCAAATGGGAAGAGCTTTTAGGGATATTTAGGAAATATAGTGTTAGTGTAATACCCTGATTTTACAGATAGAAGAATTAGACCGAGCTGATTAGTGTCAGATTTGACCGTGAAACCCATACCTGTCAGATTTGACCGTGAAACCCATACCGTATTCCACTTGGTCCTGAGCTTTGATAATTCATGACCAGTACCCTCCTCTCCTCCAAAAAATGGAGGTTAGAGAGATGACAGAGAGAGTTGTAAAATTTTTATTTTGCCAAAAAAACAAAAAAAAAAACAAAACCACACACACACACAAATAGCACCTATTGTCTCACCATTTTATAAAATAAAAGATAATAGCTGGATTAACAAGATATTTCAAAATAAAGGTTAATCCTTCAAACTGAGTTAACTTTAATGAAAAACTAAGGATTTTTCATTCAGTGATTCGTTTCATCTATTCAATTATTGGTGAAAAGTTGGCCCTATCATGAAGTACTTTACCATACTACATACATTGTGTTATCAAGTGGTTAAATTAACTTTGAAGCTTTATTATGTTTCTGAGGTAGTTGGGGCAAGGGATTTGGCAGAATTGGATTTAATTAATTTAGATTTCATCATGTTTATTTTAAAGTTAATGAGTTAGCCTTCTCATTGGTCATTCCAATATTTACTTGAGATACTTTTGAAAGATCCTGTGTAGTATATAACAGGAAAGAGTTATTTTGATCAGTTTCATAAAGCACAAAATGTTGGAGCTGAAAGAAATTTGAAAGATAATCTAGTGTAACTTTCATGCTCTTGGGTCTCCATCATGAATGAGACTAAAGTTCATGAGTTTGTGATCTGTCTGCAGGTCACTTAGCGGTGGTAACAGAACCAGAATCACAATCCCATCTTGTTACTTAAGAGTCTAGCTCCTTTCCACCACTGTGCCTTGTTTCTTCTCCATTTGTTAGCTGTTTGGACCAACCATATAATTTCTTAGAGCCCCTGTTCTCATATTGTTAAAATGGAGATAAATATCACCTATGTAATAGAATTTTTCAGAAGATGAAAAGGAGACAAAGCATATGCATCTGCTTGTTAAATCTTAAGCAATGTTACATTTTTTCTGAGTTCTACCATAGACTAGTTTTTATGTAAATGTTGTTTTTAATCTTATTCACCATAAAAGATAAAATATAAAGTTCCAATTATGGTTTTTCCTATTGAAATAAGTATAAGAATTAAATTTTTCTAAGATTTTATTTAGATCTCTCTTGTATAGGCAGAAACTCTAAAGAAACTGATTCTATTTTTAGAAATGTGGTTATTGGCAGGCAATTAGAATAGATAGACACTTGTACAGTCTATGAAGATAGCAAGTTAGTAATGTAAATAATTAACATTTAATAGTTTACTTACCTAGTAGGGTCATTATTTATTGTAACTTAATATTTACAGATGTAGCTATTCGTTAGAGCAATTTCTGGAGGGCATCTTAGAAGCTCCATTAGTGGTTCTAGTTTCTTATGTTTTTGAGGGTGATAAATTGAATTAAACAGTAATTTTTCCTTGTTACTTAGGTTGGTCTGTACTGCCTACTGCATCATAAGATTTCTCATTCAATGCTTTTTATAGTATAGGCCCATCTGAGTATGACATACAAAGGTTAAAGTATTCAGAAAGATAGTGTTTGGTTTTCTTTTGTTTACATCTAAGATTTCATTCTTGCATATATTGTCCTAAAATCCCATAAATGTGTATAATTTCCAAAAATTAGCTTAAAATTCAAAAAAGGAAATATCGATCTCTACATCTAACTCAAATTCTTCCTGTTTCCAGGGATACAGTAGAGTTGTAATGGTCATCAAATAAAAACACCTTTGTAAAAAACCTTTTTATTGGAGTATAATATGCATCTAGAAGAATGTACATAAATATACTGATCAATGGATTTTCATAAACTAAACATAGCTGTGTAATCAACACCAAGAGATAGTTACCAGCATCCCTGGACCTCCCCTTGCGCCCCTTCCAGTCACTGCCTTCCTAAGAATAACCAAACACTAGATTAGTTTTGACTGAAATTTGAGTGACTGGTAATATAACTGCAGAGGATATCAGAGGATTTAACTGGTTTTGCCCATAATGAAAAATGTGGTTGTATTAGCATTTGGTATAACTGATCATACTGTCTTTTAGAGTATACATATACTAATCCCAAACAACATTGTCTTTTTGATGTTTTAGTGAACAGCAGAGAACTTCAAAGGAACTTGAGAATATTTATAGGGCGGCAATTTCAGCAGGCATCATTGGCTGGGCATATGGGGGAATACCAGCTTTTATTCATGCTAAACGGCGCTATATTGAGCAGAGCCAAGCAGAAATTTATCATAACCAGTTTGATGCTGTGGTACGTACTGGTGTTCCAAAAGCATTTCAGGGCACACCAATTTAGCATTTCACTTATACTTAATCATTCAGTTAGAAGGTGGGTTGGGAGGGATTAGGATGTGAGAGTAAAGACATAGTCATACTTAGTAACAATGGAAGTGCTTATGCTAAGGTGTATATATTTGGCTTGTCAGACTGCTTGTCTTAAGGGATCACCACTATAGCTCTATTTTCTGAATAATATTTCTAATCTACTAAATCATTAAGGTTCAGTGTGGCATATTTGTCCCATTCACAAAGCCTCCGTGGAATATACCAGCTTACACTAAAATAGTAATTAACATTTATAACTTTACAGTTTATAGGGCGCTAATTTGTTAGATCTGTTCATCAGTTCTGTTGTACTAGTGAGGAAGTTACAGCCCAGAGAGTTGTTGTTTTTTATTTTACAATTATGTCAGAATTAAAGAAATTGCAAAAGTAGTACAAATAATTACTATATACCTTTTATCCAGATTCTCCAAATGTTAACATTTTACCACATTTGTTTTATTTTTTTTCTGTATAGTGCATGCTATTAATTTTTTTTTTTTTTAACACCTACAGCACCCAGTATTCCTAAGTAGTCTTCCATCCAACTACTAACCAGGCCCAACGCTGCTTAGCTTCTGAGATCAGACAAGATTGGGCGTGTTCAGGGTGGCATGGCCGTAGACACATGCTATTAATTTTTTGTGCACTGCTTGAGAGTAAATTATAGACATGATGAATATTTCAGTGTGTATTTTCTAAAAACAATTCTCTTACATAACCCAATATAATTATGTAGATCAGGAAATTAACACAGAGTATTATTATCTTCAGACTTTGTGTAAATTTTACTAGTTGTCCCACTAATATATTCTTTTTTAAAAGTAAATAGATAAATTTTTTTTTTCTGGTCCAGGATCTAATACTGAATCAGATATCAAATTTCCCTGTCATGCCTCTCCAGTCTCCTTTAATCTGGAACGTTTCTCTTTCTTTCTTTGACTTTCTTGATCTTGACATTTTTAAAGACTATGGGCCATTTATTTTGTAGAATGTCCCTCAATTTAGATTTGTTTGCTGTTTTTTTATGATTAGATTCTGAGA